CTGAAGTACAGTGGCACAGTCTCGGCTCACTGCAACCTCCATCTCCCAGGTTCAAGTAATTTCTCCTGTCTCAGTTTCCGGAGTAGCTAGGACTACAGGCACGTGCCACCATTCCTGACTAATTTTTGTGTTTTTAGTAGAGACGGCATTTCACCATGTTGGCCAGGCTGGTCTCAAACTCCTGACCTTGTGATCCACTCACCTTGGCCTCCCAAAGTGCTGAGATTACAGGCATGAGCCACCACACCCGGCCCATAGTAAATTATTTTTAACTGTATCCACCCTACTGTGCTATAGAACACTAGAACATATTTCTCCTATTTAACTGTAGTTTTATACTAATTAATCAACCTCTCTCTATTCCCTCCGTCCTGTTACCCTTCCCAGCCTCTGGTAACCACTGTTCTATTTTCTGCTTCTATGAGACTTTTGTAGCCCTCACATATGAATGAGAACATGTGATACTTAACTTTCTGTGCCTACCTTTTACTTAACATAATGTCCTTCAGGCTCATCCATGTTGTCACAAATGACAGGATTTAATTCTTTTTATGGTTGAATATTCCTTTGTGTGTATAAACCACATTTTAAAATCCGTTCGTCTGCTCATAGACACTTAGGTTGATTCCATATCCTGCCTATCAAGAATAGTGCTGCAATAAACATGGGCCTACAGATATCTGATTTCCTTTTCTTTGGATATATAGCCAGTAGTGGGATCGTTGAATTGTATAGTATTTCTATTTTTTTATTTTTTGAGGATCTTCCATGCTGTTTTCTATAGTGGCCATACTACTGTCTATTCCCACTAACAATATTGGAGTTCACCTTTCTCTGCATCCTCACCTGCATTTGTTTTTTTATATTTTTGATAATTGCCATTTTAATTGGGGTGAGATAATATCCCCTTGTGGTTTTAATTTGTATTTATCTAATGGTTAGTGATTCTGTGCATTTTTTTTAAATGTACTCTTTGGCCATTTATATATGTTCTTTTGAGAAATATCTACGTAGATCATTTCCCCATTTTCAAATCGGATTATTTGCTTTTTGCTGCAATATTGTTTGAGCTTCTTATATAATCTGGATATTAATCCCTTGTCAGATGGATAGTTTGCAAATATCTTTTCCCACTTTGCAGGTTTCCTCTTCACTAGGTTGATTGTTTTCTTTGCTGTGTAGAATCTTTTTAGTTTCATACAATCCCAGTTGTGTATTTTTGCTTTTGTTGCTTGTGCTTTTGAGGTCTGTAAAATCTGATTCATCTTCAAATTTACATTGTGTAAGTTTTGAAATGATCAGAAATAGACTTAATAATATGTCTAATACTTGGTATTTTCTCTATTTAAGGGGGAAAGCAGAAGAAAAAGTATTGAAGCATCTAGTAAATTCCAGCAGAAATTAGCTATAATTAAAAGAAACAGAGAAGTTTTTTCCTATTGAGTATTTAAAAGTGAATGTACATTACATATGTAAGGAGATTACACTTTAAAAAATCTTGAATTTTTGAACAAAATTTTCAAGCATATACAAAACTAGGATGTAGTAGAATAGACTGTCATGGACTCTTCACACATCTTGACAAGTACCAACACATTGCCAATTTATTACCACTTCACCTCCTTGTTAATTTACAGCAAATTTCTCACATTACACCATTTCATCTATTCATTTCAGTTTGTGCCTATAAGATACAAGGAACAACTCCCTTTTTAAAAGTACATACTGTCATCATTTCTCTAAAAAAAAAAGCAACAACATTTCCTTAATTTCATAAAATACCCAATTTGGCATTCGTACTTTCCTTCCTGTCTAGTAATCTTTTGTTTGAATCAGGGTCCACAGAGTATCTATGAATTGTAATATTGTGATTGGTTGCTATGTTTCTTAAATCCCTTTTCATCTAAATTTCATACTTCCTTGCCCATCTTTTTTTGTAGTTTACAGCATTGGCTTTCAGACTTTTTGCTCTCAACTTTCCTTTTTACTTTTAAAAATGGTTGAAAGCTCAAAGAAGTATTGTTTTTATAGTTTATATATATATATATATATATATATATGTATGTATATATATATTTACTATGTTAGAAATAGTTTAAACTATTTAAAAATAACGTTAAACCCAGTATATGATGGTATATATAAACATAATTTTTATGAAACATAGTCATAGTTTCCAAAATAAAAGAAATAGAGAAATGGCATTTTTAAAACATTTTTGCAAATCTCTTTAATGTCTAATTTAATAGAAGGTAGCTGGATGTCTGCTTTTGCATTCTTGTTGCGTTGGGTTGTTTTGTTTGAAGTATATGAACAAAATCTGGTTTTATGCATCTATGAGGTTGGAAAAGGGAGGAATATTTTAATTAGCTTTTTCATTTAATAGTGGATGTCTTTAGTTACCACACTAAAACTTGACAGGTGGTGGTAGTTTCTTAAATATTAGTTGCAATGTGCAATTTGAAACCTTATAAATGAACTTTATCAATTATGAGCCATAATCTGTTAACATTAAAATCTATTGGCCCATCTTGCACTTTGAATGGATCATTTACCCATGCATAATTTTGTACCATCATGCATTGGTCATTTTGAAAATACTACTTTACTGAGATATGCAGATCTTCCAAATGTTGGCTTCTTTCATTATGAAATACTTTTAAAATCACGCGTCCATTGCTATCACCACCCATCCATTGCCTTAGAAAAGCCTTTAGCCATCTGGAAGCTAACAAGAGCATGGCGATGCATATGAGTTTTACAAAATCCTGATTTTTCTCTTGAAGTTTCAAATTTAATTGTTAGCTACAAATACTGTTAGTATTTTCTTTCATGTGAAAGGCCCACTTCATTAATTTTTGACAAAATATTTACCAGATAACCAAACCCAAATAAATACAACTTGTTAAGTAAAAAAGGCATTTCATTAAAAACCGGGAGCTTGTATCTGTGATACTTTGGCATGCCAAATTACTTCCCATTTCATCACACAGAATATTAAAAAGATGTATATTCAGATATCAAGACTTAATAACATTTATTATTTTTACTTCATCAAGAATGGTCCTTAGTGAAACTGTCATGTATTTACTGTGCATGCGTGGTGGGGAACAATGCAATGACTGCTGCTACAGTTACTGACTGTACCGACAATTTTATACTCTCTCGATTTTGCAACATCAATGCCAATGTCAACACAGTGAAGAAGGCAAAGAATGCGTCAGTATTTTTATGAAATAGTTGACTTTTGGGACCTTTTGAAAGGGTCTCAGAGACCCTTGAGGAATGCATGCTTTGAGAAATGCTGCTAAAGAGTTTCTGGTAATCTGGATTTTCTTCCTCATGTCTTCGTGGTGTGATTTAACATGCTTGCTTTCTCTGATAGCTCCTATAAATAGACTTGATCAGATTAGGTTTGATTTTGTTTTTTCCTGGCAAGGCTATTTCATAGATGGCGTTGGGTTTGCATTCCTAGCAGCCATCAATGGTTGTTGCCTAGAACCATTAATTTATTAAAGGTTACAAATTATAACAGTCTATCATTCCTTCTTCATTTATTAGCTGCAATTCTTTCTAAGGGAAAACTTTATCTGCCCAAGGAGTTGGTTACTCTAACATACAGTTCACATTGGAAAGGCAGGATAAATCAATGTTTCTTTTTCCAAATAGTTGATTTCCTTGAATCCGCAAATGGTGATCAATGAGGTGTTCTTGCTTTATTTGTTTGATTTGAATGTCATTATGAACTTGTAGATTTAAATTTATTTGATGTGTTTCAGTTCACTGCAGCTAGTAATTAGTAAGGATACTACTTTGCCTTTCTTTGGCCAAAAGGAGCCTATTCAGGTTGGCTCTTGAGTTCTTTGGATATGCCTTCTGTTGTCTTTGATAGCTTCTTTGCTTTATTGTTTGACAAAATGTTTCAGTTTCATCTTGGACATTTCCTGCCATTGAGCAGAAATCAACTCCTTCTATGGGGAGACTTACGAGAAATGGTATTTAGACACCACAGTGTAAATAAAGCTAGGCTGCTCATTACTGTTGATTGATGGTTGTTTCTAGATTTTTTCAGTGGACAAAACTAGAAAATACTCATATTTCTAAAGATAAGATACATCATTAATTCATACTGATACTTGCATTCAAATTTAGGACCCATCGTTTATCAGTTGTCTATGATACCAACATAATTACTTATTTGTTTTTCTCATGTTACACAGACAACAGTCTTAGAACAACAGTATCAATACGACAGCCAATGATATGATTATGGAAATTTGTTCTCCAGTTTTTTAAAAAAATGAAAATTAGAAATGTTATCACAGTTTAGGTAGCCAAATTGGTTATTTTAACAGAGACTTACTATGGGTGTTTGCTGTACATTTTGAGACGGTTTTCCTATCTAGAATAACAAATTGGCAGATTATTCAATGGAACTGAATAAACAAATTTACTAAAAGACTCAATCACATTATGCATTTGTTGTATTGATGGAACAGTACAACAATTAATTGATAAAGTTAGTGTAGATGACAATCAATAATTGAATTTTCCTTTTTTATTATCAAAATGGATTCTTTTTAAAAATCAACATTTTATATTAATTTTATCCTTTATCCATATCTATCCTTTTTAGTATCTTAAAACAGAGGAAAAACTATGTACAGGCAAGGAATTGTATCCATATGGCATTATGACTTTTTTTTTTTAAGTGAATATACGTTGAATCAATGAATTTCTTTGGTTTATGAATAGAAAAAGTTTACCATAACACTTTTTAACTTAGACATTTTTATTAATTTTTTTCTATATAATTTTCCAAGGATCATGCTAGGAAAAACAGGTAATATTTTTGGAAGTAGCTGTTTTTAGATCTAGGGATAGGGGATATTATGATCAAGAAAATTATGTAATTAAGGAAAACTGAACTAATGAGTAGTAAATTGAAAACAGATTTCCGTGCAGAATATTTAGTGATATGCCTTCTTTTCCCTTTTCAGGTTAAAAAATAAATCATGACTGAATCTGCCTCTAGCACAAGTGGTCAAGAGTTTGATGTATTCAGTGTTATGGACTGGAAAGATGGAGTGGGCACATTACCAGGAAGTGACTTAAAGGTAAGCCCTCTTTATTACATACAATTATGTGTGTGTGCATCTGTGTGTATGCTTAGTTAAAATTGAATATATGTGGAATAAAAATTAAAAGCATTAATCATAGTAGTGTAGGTTTTAGATGATGCTTAGACCTCCAAAATAAATTTGCAAGACAATTTGAAATGCTGATGGAATGGCAGAGCCTTTGTCACTTGGATCAGGGGAGTAAGGAATATTTCTGCATGTGCTTATTTTGCAGAAATTGATTTATAGTTTCAAGAAGGATCATCTCAGTTTTCACACTTACCATGGCAGCCTGTAAATGCAGAAATGGCAGACTTAGAAGACCCACCTTTTTTGATTTTGTGTAACGGGCTTTGTAACTTTGAGTGAATAGCCACAATATCTTAGATTGTCCTAGAGCTTTCATTTAAAAACTGGATAATGTTAAAGTATTGAATAAATAGGATTATTTATCTCTCTTAATTATACTGTAAGTATGGATTTTTATATAATAACTTGTTCAAAATCAGGTTCTTCCTGTAAATTGGTCTGCCTTAGTATAGATGAGAACTCTGGAGAGCAGTACTTCAGTCTGCTGCTTTTAAGTATGCTTGCTCTGCCTCCATTTCCCAATAACCGTAAACTTATTCCAGGACCACTCCTGTTGTCCCATGAAACATGGTTGTGCAAGCACCCATCTGGGAAACCAACTACCCCAACCTCTGATTTCTAATTTACTTTTGCTCTGATCCTATCTCTGGAACCTTGAACCTGTCTGTGGCCCTTTAGACTTTGTGTTTGCACTTGCTCATTCAGGTATTTAAACTTCCCATCTCCCCAGCAGGCCATTGCTTGGCTTACCTCTCAAATGTTTGGTATTCTAGGCTGTCTTGAATAGAAATTCCTGCCCCACTAATTTAGGACTTTTGGAATGTAATCCCTTTTAGTGGCTGTTTGGCAAGTATCCTAAGCCAAGCCTGCCCTAGCTCATCTTCAGTGTTGAGATTTGGACAATCTGCCTGTCATTGGAAATACTTAGATTTTAGTTGTGTTTGGTTTAATTAATTGCAGTGTGCCAACATCTCTGAGTTTAGTGTAACAAAAATGTTGCACTGAGGTTTAGTAGAATCTGCAGAGGAGATTGGGTTTTCAATTTTAGCTCTGTATGACCTTGAAAAAGTCAGTTAATCTCTGGGTCAAGTTTCCTCTGCAGTAAATTAGGAATTAAATGAATGTTAAGGATTTTACCTGCTCTAACATTCTCCAAATATTCATCTGGATAAGATATGACAGAGAAAGATTGATGAACGTTTTTCAGAAAGAAAAATTATTTCTCAAATGGATCATGTCAACTACATAATAGCTACCCAATCTTTGTCAAATTATTTCAATTGCCTAAGTTTTGGAAACCTTATCTGTAAAATCTGGGATATTAGAATCTATGTGATAAGTGGTTTTGAGGATTGAAAAAATAGCAGATATAGAACACTTAACAATTGTATTTTTTCCGGCTTTGTGACTTATTATGTAAACTGCCATTTTTAATAGCTTTACTCCTTTTTTTCTTATTTCCCTTTTTCTAATCAATGGCTTTTTATACCTTTTCTTCTCAGTGGCTTTTTAAATAAAAGTCATGTGGTTGTTGAAATTTGTGTTTTGTTCAGTTAGCTTTTTAACAGTAGAGTGAAGTTTCATCTCTAAGAAATCTGGATTGCTTTAAAGTTTTCTAAGCAATGAGTTTTAGAAATTAACCTATTACTTGTATTAAGATAATCAGATAATTAAGCTGTTTAGTGGGAATTATCATCTGGGATATTTGATAATGAGTTTCAGACTCATCTAATTATCTGGGTAATTGCCATGTATACAATTCATGTACTGTAGAAAATTTGATACCTCACTTAAAAAAATGATTTAAATGTCATTTTCAGCCTTATAACCCTTTTTATCTGAGATTCAGAGATGACCCAATTGATTATATTACTGAGGATTTCTAATTCACTTGCTTCCTATTTAAAATCCAAGTTGCTTTAGAAATCTGATTAAGAAATTGATTTTTCTTTTTTTTTTCCCATTTATTTTATTGCATTTTAGGTTTTGGGGTACATGTGAAGAACATGCAAAATTGTTGCATAGGAACACACGTGGCAGTGTGATTTGCTGCCTTCCTCCCCATCACCTACATCTGGCCTTTCTCCCCTTGCTATCTCTCCCCAGCTTCCCACCCCCCACCGTCCCTCCCCTATTTCCCCCCAACTGACCCCAGTGTGTAGTGCTCCCCTCCCTGTGTCCATGTGTTCTCATTGTTCAACACCCGCCTATGAGTGAGAACATGCAGTGTTTGATCTTCTGCTCTTCTGTCAGTTTGCTGAGAATGATGGTTTCCAGGTTCATCCATGTCCCTATAAAGGACCCAAACTCATTGTTTTTGATGGCTGCATAATATTCCATGGTGTATATGTGCCACATTTTCCCTATCCAGTCTATCGTCGATGGGCATTTGGGTTGGTTCCAGGTCTTTGCTATTGTAAACAGTGCTGCAATGAACATTCGTGTGCACGTGTCCTTATAGTAGAACGATTTGTAATCCTTTGGATATATACCCAGTAATGGGATTGCTGGGTCAAATGGAATTTATATTTCTAGATCCTTGAGGAATTGCCACACTGTCTTCCACAATGGTTGAACTAATTTACATTCCCACCAAGAAATTGATTTTTCACAAAATTAGGATATTAGAACTTTGAATGAATCATGACATTTTCTCTCTCACATCATTCTTTGCCTATTTTATCCTACCCAGGCTTCTATTTTTCAATGGGTAAAGGCATTTAGATTTCCTAGGCTGAAGTTAGTTTACTTAATATAGTCAGCAAATCTATAGAAGCCAATTTCTTGTCATGGGAACAGGTTTTTATGTGCCCCAATTTTTGCTGTTTTGAAATAACTTTTCCTGTAAAAGCCCTATGATTGTTATCCAATCAAGTTATGCCCTTCTCTTTAACATTTTTTAGTAGTTGCCCAAATCTTTTTGGTAATGTTCAAGCCCCTTAAATTTACCGCAAGAGTTTTTTGGTGGTCTCGCCTCTGCTTTCCTCTCTGGCCGTGTCTAATTTCGCTCCCAGTGCCACTCTTGTTTTCTACCCAGCCCAAACCACTAGTTGAAGCCTTCACACACTGGCTCTTTTTACTGTTCCCTATTGCTGGAATCCCTTCTCCACACTGGGCTAACAAAAACTTATATAAACAGAGCACAGACATCTTCTCTGGGTGCAGTAGGGGAAAGAATAGAGAATGTACTATTTGACGAACACTCTACCTGCATCTTTTTATTTCTTTTATTTTACCCTTCTTAAGGTAGTTTATATCTCTCTTGTCAGTTTACAGATGGGGAAACGGAAGCCTGACTTGCTTAGGTCAGTTACTGGCAGGGGCCTTAAAACCAGGCTTTTCTGATATTTAAAATGGATTATCTTACCACTGCTATACTGCTGTATAAAGAGAGAAAACACTTTCATATCAAAAGAGATGCAAGGAAAATGTTGCAGGAATTAGAGGAGGTAAACATTTATTTAAGCTTGAGGGATCCATGAAGGCTTTGATAACCAGCTTCAGGTGCCTGGAAATATGTAGGAGTTTCCAGGAATACTTTAGGGAGGCAGGAACAGGAGAAGAGAAGGAGAAGGGCTTCCAGAAGAGGGACTAGCTTAAGAAGGTTCAGAGTGTCAAGGGAGAAACAGCAAGTGTCCACTGACATTCTGGCAAATATTACAGTCATTAAGACATTTTTGCCTTAGCAAGCCTTGGAAACTTTACCTGTGCCTAACTTGTCTTTTTAAAACACAAATTAGTATTTGTAAATGAATGTCTCAGGGTCAGCTGTAAGAACAGGGAGGTGACTAAGTGACAGTGCAGAGGGACATGGTAGGACTTCCCATACCTGAGCAGTTTTCCTACCTGAACTTCTAATGATGTCTGAAATTTATCCACAGAGAATTATTTCTCTGGGTCATAATGTCTTTCAGGGTCCCTCAGTAAAATGCAGATACACCCCTGAAGGATGTCATCTTGTGTAGTAGGAATAATTGCCACTTAGCCAAGAGCAAGACCCTGCCTGTAGTAGCAGGCAGAAACCCAAAAGTGAAATTCACCACACTTTTAATACATGGTTTTGCCTTTCTTTGATTAATGTTCAAAACAATTTAGTTATCAAACAGCTTTGCCCTTAAAACACACTGTTAAGTCAATTCAGATCTCAGCACTGAAGGTACTAAAATGAAAACAATAACTTCAGCAGTACCTTTTAATGATTTATTATTAAAACAGTCAAATATAGGCAAAAGATCCTTTGCCTCTACCAAAAATAAAAGAGAATTGAATCAATTAAAGGTAGTTCAAGCCAAACAAACAAAACATGTGCAGTCCCTTGTATATTTAAGCATGATTGTTTTCTCATCGACCTGGATGTATCCACGTGCAGAAAAGGTTAGCGATGTGTTTTGTTTGCTTAATATTAAATCCCTTTTGTAAAGTTTATAATTTTGACTTTCTTGGTGGTAGAGTGGAGCCACTTGACAAGGATTTTATACATATTTTAGCTCTCTAAGTTAGAACTCACGATTTAAAAAATATATAAACAAAGGTGAAGTTTTCATCATTCCAAAACCATTTGTAAAAGCATCACCAATTCCAGAACCTGGGTGTTTTATTGGAAAACATAGTGTTAGGAAATGTATCAGTCTTTCTGGAATTCTGTCTGTAGGACTTCAGTAATGTTAGCAGGACTTGACAGCCTTTGTGGTGTAATATTTTCTACCATAGCAATGTTGTGGAAGATGCAGTAAGTCCAGACTGAGAAGTCAGAGAAAAATTTGGTCCTGTATGTTTTTGCGTATTGAGATATTTAATTTTTGAGATAAGCAACTTTGGTAAAAGCAGATGTTCTTTATTTATTCAGGCTTATAGTATGCCTTGAAAATTATGAATCTTATCCCCAGAAAACTGTATATGTGCACATATCATAATTTTGCATGTATTTTATGGGATTAATCAACCCTCAAAGTCTACCTGTGGATCTCTGGCTTAGAAGAGTGAACTGTGTCCCTAAGTGACATTGCATCTTTACTTTGTACTTAAGACTGTAGGTCAGTTACTGGCAATAAATTTGAGGAGAAGGAAAAGCTGACTGGGATTGAATGTTGCATTGTGGGAATCTTTCCTTTTAACTTTGAAAGTATTTGAACCTGAAGCTTCTAGGTGTCATAGGTCTGAGTTCTGACTTGGAAATTCCACTCAGTAGTGTTTTCTTTCTCAGTGTTTGAAATGGAAGGTGGTTTGCTGTTTTACAGCAATTTGAAAACTTAAGCCATGGGAGAATTTCTGTTTAATGTAAATGTTTGATGCTATTTCTTATGTTTTGTATTTGTCAAATAAGCATAAGTTAACATCAGTAACATATGATAAAAGTAAATTTACCTGAAGTGCTTTGTCAAGCTTGTGCCTATTTTTTTATTTTAATTCAAATTGATTTTTTTCATATTCTTTAATATGATTAATTAATAATTATCATGATAGCTTGTTTTTTCTGCTCTTGCCCAGCAGATGGTAGTGTCAGCCTTATTTTGAGATATTCTGTCTTGAGCGTGATCATTAAAAACATTTTTTTAAAGATTTCTTTTTCCAAAAGTAAAGTTATTTTTAGCTCTTTTCCTTCTAACTACATTTTTACCTCTTCCTATATAGACATTTCGGTATACACACTTGGTATAATACTCACCTACCTGGGAACACGTAGCAGGTAGAAAACATTCTCACGTTCCTTACTCGTTTCCACACATTTAGTCTAGAAATCATTTAATAATTGTGGACTATGCATAGAACAGTGTTTAAGGTGCTGTTTTCACCTGGCAGAAAGAAAATTATTGATAATTTTTGCCCAGCAGTTTTCCAACTTGCAGTCAGATGGTAGTTCAGTAAAATAAATAATTCTATTGGCACGTTGACCAAACAGATTTTTTCGCATTGGCAAATGGAGGGGGTTGCTTAAATACTGCATACTTGCATGCTCATAATTTCTGTGAAAGATCTGAAACATCTTAGTATCCTTTTGAATTTTGAACTTTCTAATTCTTCATCACCTGTTAAAATTAGTGGGTCCCTAATATTACTCTGTTTTATGGAAAAACAGAAGGAATACAGAAAACTGCTTGAAACTCATGAATGTGCGAGTGGATCTAGCTGTTTCAGAGAGAACAGGGCCTCCACACAGATGTAATGGCTAAGCCTTCAACACACACACACACACACACACACACACACACACACACACACACAGTACAACCACATAGGTTGCTTTAGAAACATACTTTGTTTGAAGCTTGCTGTCAGGTGAGAGGAAATTTTCAGTATTTGGAATGAGAATGCCCATGAAATCAAGATGCTCTTGCTTTTTAGTGATAAAATTGGCATGTGGCTAGTAGACTGCTTGTTCAGCTCTCAGAGAAATTTCCAGTTGTTTTAGAGGACTACAGATGAAGATAATGCAGAATTCTAAAGAGCAGTGAAAGGAAGAGGAAGTGAGGCCCTGGGGTCACGTGGCTCATGCTTCAGCCTTCTGTGCTCATGTCTTAGAATATAAGGAGAAGGATGTCCAGGCCATTATTTCTGGGTTGGGGATATTCCTTCTCTTTTAACTGTGTGGGCTTGGGCAAGACAAGTTGATTCCTGGGAAAAGAGTAATTCTCTTTTTACTAAATGTGATTATTAAACAAGAAAAATATGATGTAAGAAAAAATAAGTCTTAGTACACACACACACACACACACACACACACACACACACACACACACACACACACACACACAGTGTGTGTTTGAAATGATAGCCCATCCAAGTAAGCTGCCAGCTCTATGGGACAGGGCAGAGCAGGGTCGTTGATATCCTTCAGCAGACCTTGCTACTTTGTTCTGTTCTCCTTCCTTGAATTACAAAATGAGTAAAATGCCAAGGTCTTAGTATTGGCAGAAGGCTTATCAGGATATAATTGTCTACATTAACTTTTAACACATAATTAATTTGTTTGAAGACTATATGTGTCAGCCATTAAATAATTAATGACTGTCCTGAGCACTTTTGTAAATTTTGCCTCTTTCTGCGTTGTTGCTAGTTTCGGGTCAATGAGTTTGGAGCCCTGGAAGTTATTACAGATGAGAATGAGATGGAAAATGTTAAAAAAGCAACAGCCACCACCACTTGGATGGTACCAACTGCTCAAGAAGGTAAGGGAAGGTCATCTGCATTTTATTTCTTGCTTTTGAAAGATTCAAAATACGAATGTCTGAAGTTTTAAATAGGCCGGAACTTTGAAGGCCCCGGGTAATATTTGTACCTCACGTTGTTAGGTAAATTTCTATAATGAAACTGATAGGAGCCAGCTTTTATATTTTAAAATAACTATAAACTGTCTTCTTTCCTCATGCCAGATCTATAGTAGGACAAGGTTAGTTGGAAATTAAGTAAATCCATGTTGTAGCCTACACAGGTGATTTAGCCAAAAGCCTGCCACTTTTTTTCTCATCTACTCCGATGGTTGTAACTAACACCTATATGCTGATGACTCCTAAATCTACATCTCCAGCCCCGACCTCTCCCCCGAGCTCCAGGCCCGTATTTCCACCTGCCTACTGGACATCTCCACCTGGATGTCCCACAGGTACTTCAAACTCCACATGTCTGAAATGCAATTCATTTTCTATTTCTTTCTCCCCTCCCCACAAACCTGCTCTTTCTTCCCTAACCCATATTTCAGTTAACAGTAGCACCATCCACCCAGTGGACAAGCAAGAAATATAGGAGTCATCCTGAATTTGTTTTTCCCATCCCCATTATCTTGTTACTTAAACCTCTTGATTTTTATTTCCTAATATGTCTCAGATCTGGCCTTTTCTACCTGTCATCTTTGCCACGGCCTTAATGTAGGCTCTTACCAATTCTCATCTGAGCTATTGCAGATATCACTCTGCTTCTAATTTTACACCCTTCTGATTTGTCCTGCCCCTTGAAGCCAGAGGAACTTGTATAGATTGCTTATCTGACACTTCACTGATTTCTCATTGCCTTTTTAGCAGAACATAGAAAGATCTGAGTGACCTGCACCTACCTGCTCGCTTTGCCTCCTCAGTCTCTGTTTCCTTCTTTGTATGTTGTGTTCTGGCAGCGCCAGCAGCACAGAATTACGTGTAATTTTCCCAACACATCATGTGGTTTCATGCTTTCTTGCCTTTACTCATGCTGCTTTTTCTGGCTCAAATGCCATTTCTCTTTGTCCAGTTGGTAAATTCCTCTTTGGCCTTCAAAACCCTGTTGAGGCTTTCTATCAGAAAATCCTTCTCTGACCTTACCCCAGGCTGAATGAATCACTTCTTCTGTACTACTTCTGGACCTTGTTTATGCCTCTAGTATTGCATGTATCACGTTTTATTATAAACACTGGTTTTCTTGCCTCTCTTCTCGACTGTGAGCTCTCTTGGGCAAGGTCTCTACTGTCATTATTAATGTCTAGAATAAATTGGTGCCTAATAACCGTTTGCTGAATGAATGATTAGCCTAACAATTCAGGCAAAAGGAAATGTGAGTTCCTACACAATTTGGATAGCTGTGATTTAGGAAATGTGCTACATCAAAAGTGTAATAGATGAGATGTTGATGTAGCCATTTAAGTAAAACAAAATCATTCATCAAAAGATTATAAATGTGAAATAACGGATGACCCTTTAAAATTTTCAGAAAGATAAAAATATAGAATAGGATTCTACAGATTAATATATGTGTCTTCTGAATTTAGTGACTAATGAAATTTTCTTCATTTTACTTTGAATTCTGTAGAAAAAGCCTTGGTCAACTTTTGTTTATCCTTTCTGCAGAATATTTTTTCATTATTTGAATGACTTGAAATGATTTTCTGCAGAGCCCATGCACTCCCCCAGACACTATCATTTGGTCATTCATTCATTCAACAAACACTATTCTTTATTGTGTTGCTAACAAAATTATTAGACGAAAAAGTTTAATTGTGTTTTAGAATGTCTTCTGTCATGGTGTTAATTTGCATTTCTTCTTTTCATCTTCTAGTCTTTTCAGAGAAGACTGGGATGCCTTTCAGGTTGAAGGATCCAGTGAAAGTAGAAGGGCTTCAGTTCTGTGAGAACTGTTGTCAGTATGGCAACGTAGATGAGTGTCTTTCTGGAGGAAACTATTGCAGCCAGAATTGTGCTCGGCACATCAAAGATAAGTAGGTTTTGGCCCCATTCCATCTATAAAACGAGTTTTAGAGTCCAATGTCATGGTGCCTGAGAATATAGAAGTTTTGTGCTCTCTGACATTCATCACCTATTGATACCTTTTTCCCAGAGACTTTCCTTTTAGGGGCACATGGGCCCTAACCCCTATATGGGACCTGGTGATGTCTATCATGCCTGGTCTGAGTTCTATTATTAATATTCTGTCTGTAAAACAGCCTCTGCCTCTGCCTTCAGTCTTCCATTTCCATTCATTTGATTGTTCCTCAGCTAAAAGTGTTTAGTTTTTTTCTAGGCTACATACACATTTGGATGGCACTGACATTTATAGAAGCATAGTTTTGTTTATATTTTGGGAATTCTTAGGTAACTCAGCTAAAACTCCGCATATGGCATGAAGCTTCCACTGATTCGTAATCAACTGAGTGAAAATGACCATAGGGAAGAGTGTAGTGAGTTGTGTCACTGATGATCTCAAGTTGTGGACTGACGATTTTGAGACAGAGGCGTCAGCGGTGACTGGCAGTGGTGTGTGACTTTCCCATTTGGGGACTATCTGACAAAGTTCAGCTTATCACCAAGAAGTTGCTGTTTTTTTCTTTCTTTTTTTTTTTTCTTTTTGAGACCAGGTTTCATTCTTGTTCCCTAGGCTAGAGTGCAATGGCGCAATCTCAGCTCACTGCAACTTCTGCCTCCTGGGTTCAAGCGATTCTCCTGCCTCAGCCTCCCGAGTAGCTGGGATTATAGGCATGCGCCACCACGCCCAGCTAATTTTGTAATTTTAGTAGAGACAGGGTTTCTCCATGTTGGTCAGGCTGGTCTTGAACTCCTGACCTCAGGTGATCCACCCACCTCAGCCTCCCAAAATGCTGGGATTATAGGCATGAGCCATCACACCTGGCCAGAAGGTGTTTTTCTTGCATATCATTGTACATTGCAAAGAAATGACTGGACGTTTATATTTTAGTGGACTTTCCCATGTATTTTAATCACCACAGGCCTGGGAACTGTCAGTTTTTCTTCGCTAACTGATGTTTCACAAAGTTACACTTAGACTTTTTTTCAGTTGGATTTGTCATTCTTAATAACTGCTAGATCCTTGTTTGAATGGCGCTGAAAACAAGTATCTCTAAATAATTCTTTTATTAGTATAGATGATAGATGTGACAGATAAATAACTTGTTAGAACCTATTTCATACATATTGCTGGTGCCCTTTTGAAATTAATATATAAGGTAATTTTCATTTTCTGCCCTGACAGATGTCATATGTAATAGTGGTTTTCAGTGTTTCTGATATATTATATTCTCATGCCTACAGATTTCTTCTGGTAGTTAAAGATTTTTCCTTTGGGGAGTGATTTTTTTTAAAAAGTGATTGTTGCATTGATAATCAGCAAGTAGATGTTTGATGTGTATTGCTTCTGTCATTATATTGGGTTTATAACACAACAGAGATCAGAAGGAAGAAAAAGACATAGAAGAAGACAATGAGGAAGAAGATCCTAAGTGTAGTCGGAAGAAAAAACCAAAATTATCTCTGAAAGCTGATGCCAAGGAGGATGGAGAAGAGAGAGAGGACGAAATGGTGAGTGCCTCTGTCTGACACCAGGAGCACAGGGATATGTCTTTAGTGGATAGCATCATAGTCACAAGCACTGCTTGGAGCCCACTGAGTTCAAATAAGGGTTCCAGGACTATCTGTGTTACTGTTAGCAAGTTATCTGGCCTCTCTGCGCCTTGCTGTCCTGTTCTCAAAATGGAAATCATAAATAATAGTATCCTTCTCAGGGTGAAATAGTGGGATGTCCTGAAGTTTAGTGCTAGGGTAGGAGAGAACATTTCAAAACCTTTAATCTTGTAGATGAATCTGAAATTTCTCTTGACAACAAAATGCCAATCCCATTTCATTAAATTGCAGACGGATCTCATAAAACTATGTGAGTGGTTAAAAAACGGCACATAAATACCAGGTGTATCTGGAGAAAAGCCATTCAAAATGTGCGAATTAAGACATAAGTATCCTATTCCTAAAGCGCCTATTAATGGTTCTATAGGAAAAGGGAACTTGAAGGTGTGGAAGTGTTTCCCTTAAGATCAGTATTGCACAACTGTTACTTGTGAGTCACTGTTCTAGGAGCTGGGAATAGAGGGATGCATAAGACAAATAGAGGACAGGTCTCTCCTGGCAGAGACATTGCATTCTTGTTTAGAGGATATTTAACCCACAAACAAAATGAACAGGAGAAATGTCACCTAGTGATAAGTGCTATGTTGAGAATTAAAATAGGGTATTACGGTTGGCTGACTACTTCAGGTTGGGTTGTCAGGGAGCCCCCCCAAAGGTGATGGCATGAACAGTATGCCCTGATTAATGAGGAGGAGCCAGCTATGTGAAGTGAAGCATGAGGTGCATTCTGGGTAGTAGAACTTCTAGAGGAAAGTCCCTAAGGTCAGAACTTGTGCAACATGTTCTGTGCAAGGAAATAAAAGAAAGTCTGGGCACTGTGGTTTAGGAGAGGGTGGAGTGAGATGAAGTTGAAAAGGTGTGTGTGGTCCAGGTCCTGTAGGGTTTTATGGTAAACAAGAGTCTTGGGTGTTCATTGTATTCTGAGTGTCCGGGGAAGCTGCTGGAAGGTTGAAGGCAAGGGAATGCTTTGATATGATGTGTGTTTTAAATGACCCGCTGTAGCCCTGAGTGGAATCAGGGAAACCAGTTAGGAGTTTATTGTACTAGGCATGTAAGAAGGCTGAAGAAGATGGAAGTCTGTGGATTTGGGCATCAATATTAAGAGGTGGGGTTGTCAGAGTGTGTGAGAGAAAGAAAAGAATCAGGGATAATGCTTAGAATTTTGGCTTTGACAATTGACTGGGTAACCATGTCTCTTACTGAGAATGGGAAGACAAGGGTGGAGGGTGGAACAGAGTCCTTCGCCATCGTGGGTTTGAGATGCTGATTACCCATCCGGGTGAAGATCCCAAGTAGGCATTTGGATACAGCCACATGGAATCAGGGAGAGGAAGCTGGGGATGTAGATTGGGAGTATCTAGACTATCAGATGACCTTGAAAACCCAGGGAAAGGGACTCGAAAGAGTGGAGAAGGGAACTGGATTGGAGGAGACATCAGCAGAGGAGACAAAGAAAGAGGGGCCGGTGAGGCGTGAGGAAAATCAGAGCAGAGTGTTCACAGAGCTGAGAGTGGAGTGTTTCAAGGAGCAGGGAGCAGCATCTGTGCCCTTCCAACAGGAAATACGTGGATACAGTCATATTTTGTAATAACCTCAGGCCAAAAGCAACACAGTTTTCAAATGAACTGTATTCTTACTTTCCTTAAAAGTTATAAAGTAAAATTGAAGAAAAGAACAACAGAAAAAGTGCTTTCCAACAGCTCTCTAACTGTGCATTGGTGCACATTTCTTGAACTTTAAAGTCATAGTTTTCCTTTCTTTTTATAGGAGAACAAACAAGATGTAAGAATCCTGAGGGGTTCTCAGAGAGCACGAAGGAAAAGACGAGGGGATTCGGCTGTATTAAAGCAGGGTGAGCTGACGAAAATAAAGTCTTAGTGTAACTTTACAAATTGAAAATGTTTCACACAAATGGAAATTTTAGTCATAGCAGTTTTACTTCAGGATTTTCTTTAATTCAGTTGTGTCGATAAAGATTGAGAATTTGAGGATAAGGAAAGAAATGAAAATTTATAACTTTCAAGTGGTTTCAGGGTAAGCATGAGAAACATCCCTCCCTCACTTCCTTCCTTCCTTCCTCCCTCCTTTCCTCCCTGCCCCCGTCCCCCTCATCAAGTAGGTGCTTCCAGCTTCTGCTTCTTTATCACTTCTGTTCTTGTTCATTTCCCACAGTTTTAGGTTTTTAATATTCCCTCTCAAAACACGAGCTCCTAGCATGGAAGCTTTTCTTTTCTTTTTTTTTTTTTTTTTTTTTTTTGAGACTGAGTCCCACTCTGTCACCCAGGCTGGAGTGCAGTGGAACAATCTTGGCTCACAGCAGCCTCCACCTCCTAGGTTCAAGTGATTCTCTTGCCTCAGCCTCCCAAGTAGCTGGGATTACAGGTATGCACCACCACGCCCAGCTAATTTTTGTATTTTTAGTAGAGACAGGGTTTCATCATATTGGCCAGGCAGGTCTCAAACTCCTGACCTTAAGCGATCTGCCTGCCTCTGCCTCCCAAAGTGCTGGGATTACAGGCATGAGCCACTGTGCCTGGGCCTTTCGTTTTCTTTCATTGTTCCTCAAGCAGCATTTTATTCCCAGGAGGAAGCTGGCCCTGAAGCCCTTTCCTTTAGTATTTGTCTCGATGTACTTGTGTGCTTATTCTGCGTGGACCTTGGGTCACTTCCATAGAGGCCCTGGTGTCCCCCACTAGGCTCTGTTCCCTTGCCTGCCTCGGCTTGCAGCCTACACTGTCAGTGTCCCGACAAACCAGGGCCATGAACCCGTGCTCCTCCTCGGTGCCCGGATGCATCCTAGCCTTGTTCTGTTAATTCCTCAAAAAGAATGGGAAAAGTCCCACCTGCCCCAGGCACACAGCTTAATTTTTGTGTCTTTTCAGAGCTGACCTTCTATTTTATGTCACTGAGATGAAGGGTGGAAATCTCAGTCGCTCTTCACTCTGCCTGGAAATGTCTTTTTCTTTCACTATTCTTTCCCTTGCTCTTCTTGTTGACCCTGGATAAACTTCCAGGCCCCTGGCTCTTCTGGTACCTTGTTCCTTCAGTCATGTTTTTTCCTTAAGTTTTCTGTTTTTTTTCTCTTGGTGTACTCTACCTTAGCCTGTTCCAATTTCATCCCCAAAATACCTTTCTCTCAACTTTGCTACCCATCAGGCTATTATATTTTTCCTTCATTCCCAGTATTTGTCAAATTAATCCAAAATACATAAAATTGATACTAACTGCCTGCATTATCACTTATGTATTCTTTTGGCACCTAAAAATCTGCCTCTCACTATATTGTTTTTCTTCTTTCCTTTTCAAGGTTAGCAGCCACTCAATGCACTGGCCTTTCCACAGTCCTCAACTTCTTGATCTCTTAGGGAAAGTTGTTTCAGCCTCCTGCTTCTAGAAACTCCCCCTTCCTGTAGCTTCTGTGGCAGTGTTCTGTCTTGACTTCCTGCTGTCTTCTTCCTTTACTCTAAGTTCTTCCACTTCCATCTCCTACACTCCTCACTGTGGGTGCAAACCACAGTTCACTTGTTATCTTGGTTCTTGGGAAGAGGAGCCAGGAAGAGACAGAGGGATGCCAGCTGTGGAAGGAAGAGAAGAGCCAGGCAGAGTGTTAGTCAGGGAAGCGTGAGTTCACAGTGCACCACTGCTTGCTTAGATTTGGAAATTCTGTCATTTCAGTCTCGCTTACTTTTCAGGTTTGCCTCCTAAAGGAAAGAAATCATGGTGCTGGGCATCCTACCTGGAAGAGGAGAAAGCTGTGGCAGTGCCGGCGAAGCTGTTCAAGGAGGTATGGGCCTTTGTAGAGACATGATCTGTAAGGACACGGGAGCTGAGATACCAGCCTCAATTAAGATTGTTGTTTCCACTGAAATTTGACTTGGGATCATTTTTTTCAGCATACAGTTTTTCATGCGTGCGTTTATGTGGAAGGCAGTTAACATTGATGGTGTGTGCCTTCCCCGTGCCACATGTGTGTGTGCACACTGACACGTGTGCTCTTTTCTCTCAGCATCAATGGGCTTGCAATAATGAATTTTAACAGGGATACTAATACTACCATGAAAAACTAGTAGATGAAGAAAAAAATGTTAGGAAATTTCATGTCAACACTTCACATCAAATTTCATGTTCATTATGGCTTTGAGAGATTAAAAATGAGTTACTAAGATTTATATACTATCACAACAAAACACCTAAAAATGGGTCACTGTATTATAAACTAAACCAAAGGTGGGGTTCTGGTATGGTGACACACACCTGCAGTCTCATCACTTTGGGAAGTTGAGGCAGTAAGATCACTTGAGGCCAGGAGTTTGAGACCAGTCTGAGCAACACAGTGAGACCCTGCCTCTTAAAAAAAAAAAATTAAAAATATAGCTGAGTGTGGAATTCAGAGTTGGCGTGAGCTATGATCCTGCCAGTGTACTCCAGCCTGGACAACAGAGCAAGACCCTATCTCTAAAAAACACACACACACACACACACACACACACACGGGTTGGTAAACTTTTTGGTAAAGGGCCAAATAGTAAATATGTTAGGCATTTCAGAGCATGTGGTCCCTGTTGCAAAAACTCAGGTCGTTGTAGCACAAAAGCAGCCATAGAGAATACACAGACAAGTGGGCACCGCTATGCTCCAGTAAGCCTGTTTACAGAAACTCATGGGTGCTGGATTTGACCCACGGACTATAGTTTGCTGACCCTTGGTTTAAATTATTTCATTATATTTAATCATGGTATGTAGTTCATCTACCATAGATATATTTCTATGTAGGTATGAACATAGCAAGCTTTTAAAAAGTCATGAATAGTAAATGTTAAGATGATTACATCTACATTAAGAATGTTTAATTTAAATATAGTAGTAATTACAGATAATTTTGTTCTCTATAATTATTTTCTGTAAGTTTGGGTCCTTTAGAGAATAGACTTTTTCACATTAAAAAAAAAGTTTAAATATGGATAATTCCTTGAATCAGTAGTAAATGCATGTGATTCAAAATATAGAAGTACTACAGTAGTATAAAGAATATCTCTCATAGCCCTGTCGCCAGCTACCAGGTTTGCCTCTCCTGAAATAACCAGTGTTACCAGTTCTTTATTCCCTTCCTGGAAAATTCTGTGTTCATATAAGCAAAATACACACACACACACACATCCTTCGCTTTCTGTCCTAAACCAAATGGTAGCATCTGTTGTATACTTTTTGGACTTTGCTTTTTTTTTGTTTAACTTGACAATTTGAGGATGTTTATCTGAGTCATGAATCCCTTCACTATTCTTTTACACTAGTACATGTATTATGTCTTAGGCCTGTTCTGTAATAATTTAGGTTGTTCCCTATTGATTTGCACATACATATATATATTCTTTCAAATCTTTTGCTAATGGTTTAGTGAATAATCTTGTACACCTGTCATTTTTCACATGTCTGAGTATCTCTTGGATAATTTCCTAGAATTAGAATTCTTACCTCGAACAGAATTTTTTGATTGATATTATGAAATCTTTAGAAGTTGTACCAATTTTCATTCTTCCTAGTGATGTATGCATACCTGTTTCCTATAGCTTTACTGACAGTGTTGTCCACCTTCTAGATCTTTATCAGCCTGATAGGTGAAACACATCTTAGTGTAATTTTACTTTGTATGTCTCTTCTGCATGAGGTCGAGCATCTTTACAAATACTTCAGAGACAAAGGCTGTGTGCCATTACATTTCCATTCTTGTGACCTATTTGTAGCCTTGGTCCATTTTTTTAATTGGATTATTTATTCATTTTTTTCTTTGGGTTTTAGAAGTTATGTATTTGGTTAAATCATCTTTATTTTTAAAATGGTAACTAGATTTTTAACTAGATCTTTGGGATATGAGATTAAAGCTGCTGTCATTTTGCATTTTAGTATCAATCCTTTCCATATAACAAAAATGGATTCAAAGTTGGCATGAAATTAGAAGGCGTGGACCCTGAGCATCAGTCTGTGTACTGTGTCCTCACTGTGGCGGAGGTAAGCTTTGCCTCATCTTTATTCTTAAGATAAAATGGTGATTATGGAGATTTAAAATGAGGAAAAGCTGCCATTGGTTGAGCGCCTACTTCATGCCAGGCGCAGTGCTTGCTGTTTTGTGTACGTTATTTCATTTAATCTTTGCAAGAATCCTGTGCAGGTCATGGTTTTTCTCAAGCTCTGTTCTGTAGATTAGAGAACTGAGGCTCAGAATGATGAAGTGACGGAAGACCACACCGCTTCAAAGTGGTAGAACCCAGATTTGAACCAGTGTCTGTCTGATGTCATAGCTTTTGCCATAAGGAATA